AGAATGAAAAATGCTGGGAGAATGGACAGAAAATGAGGCAAGAGTATGTAACGTATTGTGATGATAACAGAATGGGCAAAGACAATTTCTAACTGTGCTGATGTAGCCTTATACAGTGGAAGAGTGTGTGTCTGTGCACAGGCGTTCTAAGCTGTAGCATTCATCTCTTGCCACTTTGTTACCAAAGCTGTACTGACAAATTTGAAGAAGGGAAGGGAAGATGAACAGCTACTAGAGAGAAACTAGTGAAGAAATAGTGTTTAAAATAAACACCCCCAAACCCACCCCTACACCCAAATCCGAATCCTTATCTCATCAAAGTCTGGGGCTTAGCTTCTCCTCTTCCTCCTTTGGTTCTGTGCTTTAATGAAACAGTTTCTTCCTCCACCACTCAAATTCATGCGAGAAGAGCTCAAGATCTGTCTCTGCAACTAGCAGAAGATCTGTACTCAATGCAGATGGCAGAATTCATGTGTTAAATGTGATTAATAACTAAAATTTGTTTCCTATGGCTGTGATTTCTAGTGTGGAAAACAGCTTTGATCACGTTTTAAAATTATACTGGAAAGACCGAAAAAGTGATCTGGTTTGTTGTTTCCTAAGTCCATAATCACTATCTAGAAAAAATTGACTAAGGCATTTCACAGTCAGATCTATATGACTTGGGAAGCAATCGGCTATGTCAAACCTGTGTGTGTTAGAGAAGTGTGTTTTCCGTAAAGGAGAATGAAAACCTAAAGAGCTTTCTGAACTCAGGAATAGGTCATTGCAGGCACTAAACAGGAGCATGGGGGAGAAGGCAGAGTTTTTAGCATTCTCTCATGCATACGGGACATAAGAGGGAGAGACTAAATAAAGAAATCTTTGTGCCAGAAAATAAAGTTGGTCATTTTCTGAGATACAAACCCAAACATTGTTAGACCAAATACAGAGAAATGAATAAAGCTGAAGTTTGACAGTAGGTAAATATTTGGTTTCCTGAACTCAATATAATGTTGAAGTGTCATCATGGACCAGATTATCATTTCAGACAGATACAAATGAGGAGCAAATTAATAGGAATCAAGATCTTTAGCAGAAGTGAGCTCAAGGTTTTATACAAACACTTTGATATTTAAAAGGCTCCTAAGGCCATTTACAAGCTCTGGAAAGAAGGTTTTATCACTGAAAAATGGCTGCTGAGATGAGGGTTTCTGTTTTATTCAAGCAGGAATAAATTACATATGAGAAATTCAGTCTCTGTTCACTCTGTGTTACATCATTGTATGGCTGGGGTTACCTTAACATAGTTACAAATGATATTCCAGCAGAGAATGGTGGTTTTTTGGTGGGTTGGGTTTTTTGTTGTTGTTGTTGGGTTTTTTTAGTAAAGTATTGCATGGCAGTTTCCTTCTGATTCAAATTCTTTAATTTGGAAGTGTGATGATCCTGTGATTTCAGCAGATCTTTCTCAACTAGCAAAGCAAGTTACAAGGAGCTTTCTTCTCACTGTATTGCCTAGAAACCAGCACTACACAGATGCAGATTTGAGGCCATAAATGTGTACTTGAGTTAAGTTTCTTTGCAACTGAAAGAAAAGTGCTTTACTTAATTGAGTCTGGTTTGTATGTGCTTACATTTTCACCTGTGCATAAACCTCCTTTTTAAGGGAGGAAAGTTAATGCAGATAGTTAGATGCTTTCCTGGTATCCTGAACATTGTAGAGCCAACCCTTTTTAACTGTTTTGAAGCATTAATCACAGATCCCTTTAAAAATAGATAAAAGGGGGAAAATGGAAAATGAACATACTTTTTATGTGAAACCTAGTGGCAAATTCTGAACTTCTGTACATACCCTTTGTACTTCTTGGAAGTATATTGGTCTCAAGTGAATGGCTTGCTATTTTCTGCCCATCTAAGGTTGAAATGTTGCTGTGTCATTTTTGATATTGATTAACACTCATGACACAATCTGCTTAGCAATGCTCTGAGGTTTACGTATCCTGTATGCTGAGGTTGGTGTACATAAGCATACTTGTACTTTTGTGTTTTGCTTACATTCTGTCACTTCAAATGTGTTTTGTGTAGTATCTATACCTGCCTCTTATTTTTCTTTAATCCAAAATTTTTGAATTCTTATAAAAGGTCTTGACTGAGCATGTCTTTTATGTGTTATGTCAAATTTACGCTTATACTGAAATACTTGTAATCAAAAAAAATTGTCTCCAACTACAAGTGCTTATTCTAATTGTTGTTTCAGAAGCATTTACTATACGGCATTTACTCAGAGATTGTTGTGGTATCAAGTGATAAACTTCAGGTTTTCCCCTGGAAAACTAAATTTAAAGAACTAGTCCTTTGTATTACATTTGCTCATAGTAGTATGAGCCACATAAAAGAACCATTACCTAATATTCTTCTAAACAGAAGGTGACTGCATTGTCAAAGACTGCTGGTGAGTAATTGCAGATAGTGTTGCCAGATGGTGACTAACTGGGTACAAAATTTTAGATTAAATCATTTACAAACTAGTAATGAGTTTTCAATGCAGCTTTTTCCCCTGTATTCTAAAATACTTAAAATGGACTTCATTTTATATGTGGACAAAGTATATATGTATTTATTTGTAAGCAAATGCAAAATGGTCTCTTAAAGTGTAAGTGCTACTTTTGGGGTTTGGGGATGCCAGCGTCATTCAGGATGATCAAAAGGAAATGAAGAAGTAAATGATCAGATTCCACAGAAGAGAAGAAAGGAAACTTCAGTGCAAGATACTGTTGTTTACATAGTAACTTTGCATAGCTGTTGTATTCTATATACTTTCTCAGAAGGCTATATTTTCTCTCTCTTTGAATGTGGGGTCAACGGTGTTGAATTTTTGTGATTACTATGACATGCAATTTTTTTTTTTTCATTGTAGCATTCTTTTACATGTGATGAGAACATCTCTGATAGGAAATAGTGATGCAGATGAAAGGCTTGCAGTAGTATTTTCAGTATTTTTATTTTTGTGAAGATACATTTATTCAAAATTAAAGGTGATGTGAGCTCTGTGAGTTTCTAAGGTGTGCTCTGAACTTGTTTACCACATCCATTCCTACTTTTCTTCAATTACCTTTGTTTCTGAACTGCCACTAGGCACTTAGACATGCTACATTTAACTTTGAACTGGTTAAAGATTGATTCATAGGGTAAATAGCAGGTCCTGGCTTTATTTACCAAAGATAAATATCAGGGTATTATCAGGCTCTTGGGTGCATAGCTACGGGATCCCAGGTATATCTCCTGGTTTTGGGATACAGCTCTCATAATTCAGTTAAGGACTCTGTTTGAAAAAGGAAAGCAAGACTCCAGTCTTCCGACATTGTGTGGTCTTGCTCCTTCTCCCTAAGATTCAAGTTCTGTAAGTCAGGAACCTGCAGTTACTGCTTTTGGCCATAATCGTCTCTTAAGACTACAAAGTGACAGTAAGTAGAAAGAAGAATCAGAAATTCAGCAGAAATTCTGATCAGGAATTCATCAGAAATAAAAAAATAATGTTGTGTGCGTGAAAGAAAACATTTCATGTCTGGATTATTCTAGTGTTTTCAGGAAAATTCCCTACACAAATCCAGCCAAATCTTCCAGTCATAACATGGGACAGAGCGTGAGCTAGAAGGGACCTGCTGGGACTTGCAGATAAACATGCTGGAAGAGGATTCCCGCTTAGGAACAGTCAGTCCATGACCCAACTAATATTTACAAAGTGCAGTGTTTTCTGCTTCTGAGCTTGTGCGCACCAGAGATTTCCTGTGTGGTCCAAGGATCCTGTCAAGTACCAAAGTTGCAGGGTGTCATTGGGCTCAGTTTTGGTGCTGCAGTGACACTGCTTCCTGGCTGGGTTTTGTTCAGCACCCATGTCAAACTTCTGCATAGCACAGAAGTCAACCCCAGAGGGCTTACGTAGCCCTTGCAAAAGAGCCATTCCCATTCTGGAGTCTTATTGTAATAGCTTCAAAAAGATAACAAGCTGAAATGGTTTGGTATTTTGTCTACTATTTTTGCATTTCTTCTTCAATCCCTAATTCATCTCTTGTGTGTGAAAAGGTCTGGGCTCAGAATTTTGCAACTAATTAACACCAGTTAATTAACACCAATTAACATCTGGCACAAACCAATTGTATCACCAGTACCCTGGATACAAATGCTGCTCCAAGTAGAGCTGCAGTCATAACCTTTCTGCTGGTTGCCATCTGTGCTAGAAGAGATTTCAGCAGCAAGTCATTCTTCACTCTAGTCATTATCTGGATACAGTCAATATAATAGCCTATGTACTGTGTCCTTGTGAAGTAATGCAGTAGTCTGGATTTCTTTCCTAATGAATAAACATTTGTCATGTAAAAATCATCCCTGAGGAATTATCTCACGTAAGGAATTAGTATAGCTGAAGAGACATACGGAATACAGAAGGCCGTTAATTCAGAGATCCTGTTAGAGCTCAGGTAGAGTACATTGCAATCGTACCCTACTTATTTTATATCTTAAGGTGAAACAACAGGAAAAAAAAACCTCAACCTCTATGTACTAGTCTAATGTGGTGAATGTGCATTGATTATGTGCAGTAGTGATACAGATCTTTCATGTGTGAATGCTACTAGCCTAGGGGAGAAATAAGTTGAATAAAAAAGCAGTGAGAATTATCTGTTCATAGAGTTTTGCTTTGTTAATGTCAGAGAATATATGGCCACAGTGTTCAACTACCTGGTAGGGACCATGCATGAATGGCTTCTAAAGTAATGGCATTTTGGCTGATTTTTTTTTTCTTCTCTGTCAGTAATGAATCTTCAGCAGTACTTTAGCTATCCAACTTCTTAATTGAATCCTGCTTTGATTTAAGGTGATTGTAACCTTTATGTTACTCAGGACGTTTTTTGATTGCATTGTGTATAAAAGAAACAAGTCTGAAGATAAAAATAAATTGCATGCTCGGTTACAAAGACATATAGCAAAATCCAATCTTTGTTTCTTTTGTTGCATCCTAGGAGGCTTTTCGATGGGAGGTGGAATGGCAATGCATTTAGCATACAGGTTTCATCAAGATCTGGCAGGAGTCTTTGCTTTGTCTAGTTTTCTCAATAAAGACTCTTCTGTTTACCAGGTGAGTGTGTGGTAGACTTTACAGAAAAACTAGTTAGCTAAAAAAAAAACACGATAATTAAAAATTGAGTCTAGCGTGTTTATTCATCTGAGGCAATTGATTAATATTCTAAACTTATGACGTTTCCTGGAAATAGGTAAGCAGACTATTAGGGAAGTGAGGCTTTAAAGCTGTCTTTACATGATATTTTGTTCCTTTTTTGCACAGACAGTACAATTATTTTATTCAAAGTAAGTCAGATCAGAAGGCAGATTAACAAATTAAATGCTTTGCATGTTGTCCTTAGTTGTTAGAACTCCATGTAGCTGTAACCATTCTTTGAAAATTTGTGATGAATTACAATACTCATGGGCTCCATCTGCTGTCATGAATTTTTTCTATTTCTCTTATTTGGAGAGGGATATAGACCTTAAAGTAAACCCTATCATTTGTCAAGTTAGCACATTGGAATCTGAAGTGCAGGGGTTTTTTCCAATATTTCCTTGTTTCCTTTTGTAGAGATAGTACAATATGACCACTAAAACGCAGGTTAATAAATGAAATGCTATGTAAACTGTCACCATGTAATTGTAACTATTCTTCTAAAATTTGTAGTGATGTGTCTGACAGTGTTTCTTCTCCATCCAGGCTTTGAAAAGAAATCAAAGTGTTCTTCCAGAATTATTTCAGTGTCATGGAACTGCTGATGAACTAGTTCTCTACTCATGGGGTGAAGAGACCAACAAGATGTTAAAGTCACTGGGAGTATCAGCATCACTTCATACTTTTCCAAACCTTAATCATGAGTTAAGCAGAACTGAAATAGAAAAACTAAAAACCTGGATTGTAAAGAAATTACCTGTTGAAGCAGCAAAGACAAACGAATAAAAGAAGATGCAGCTTTCATATACTTTCTGATTTTTGTGATTTTAAGATCATGCATGGCATGTATATGGGTGTCCTATATACGTTATATAAGCAAGCTTCACGTAGACACTGTTATATTCCATAAAGTTCACTTAAGTGGTGAAATGATGGTGCTGACTGTTAACACTCATTTTATCATATAGGTTTCTTTTTTCTGTTTTCTTGTCCAGTTTTTAAATACACATCCATATCAGTCTATGGAAAATAATGAATGATAATATTAAAACCATTCCTAAATAATCAAAACAGCATTCAGGAAGCATTGCTCTGAATTTCCCAAACACTTTTTTTTTTTTTTGGTGTGTGTTCTAAGATGGAAAAACATACAGTGGTATGGTTGTCTTTCTAATGGCATTACAGCAGAAAAAGGCCAGTTATTAAAATAACAGACTTTTACTTGTAGAAATACATGCATATATTCAAGTTAGTTCACTGAGAGGGAACCATATTGGCTTCAGTTGGATTTTCAGCATGTAGGAATGAACCTGCATCAAATCAGAGTTGTATGTCACCTCAAAAAAACAACAGGTTTGTGTTATATTTTTTAAAGTCATAAGTAGCTGTGTGTAGCTAGCTACACCACAGGCTCTTGTTTTTACCCATTCTCATTGGTTTGTTACTCGGAGATCTAGCTTTATGTGAGTTGCTTGAGCCCTGTGTCGTTTATAGTGTAGGTTTAAAAAAATTAAAAAGTGCTGTCATGATTGTTAAGATCTATCCTGTTTTTGAAGAAATCATTCTTTGGGCAGTGTTCCTGTAGAAACTTATTTTTGCCAACAGTTTTATTTTGGCCTGCAAGAGCACATTTTAAATTAAAAGATCAGGATACTTGACTCCTCTGTGAATATTTAAGAGTTGTAAATAATGATTGTGATATAAAGAAAACTTGTATCCCATTATTTTAATGGTGGATGATTCATCTCTGTGTCAGTTTGATAAATTAACTCAGAGTATAAATATCTATTCTTATGTAATTTTAATGCTTTTTTTATTTCCCCCCCTCTGCCCCATTTTTTCCTCCCCAAATTCAGTAATTTTATTAGCATGACAAGGTATTCAGCCTTTTGCCAAAGCCAATAGATCCAAGTCTCTTGCTTAATCTTCTCCTTCCCCCTTTTCTGAAGAGTGGATCTAGGACACTGTTGTTTGCTCTGTCACAGCAGATTCCTGCCAGTATTGGCTATGACTCCAGAAGTGTCGGCCAACTCCGGGGACTAAGAGTTTTGTTCGAATCCTCATGCACTGAGACCTAAGCCAGTTTTTACCTATCTTGAAGAATAAGCAAAGGGGAAAAAATGTCACTGTTCAAGTACAAGGCATGTAATTGGCAGTAGCAAGTAACAACTTCCTGCTGCTAAAAATATTTTGCTTTATTTCATTTTGCTAGCATTAGCAAGTCAGCAGTCTGTTCTGAAAAACAGGATTTTAAATGGCACATGAAAACTCAGCTATTTGAAACAGTAACTGAACAGCATTTTTTCCTGGTGCCCTAGGCTTCCTAATTACTACAAATTAAATTGAAACAGGTGTGTTCAGAGGCAGCTGAGCTAACATTGCCTTGGCCCAACTCTAATTACAATCCTTGACAAGTGGAGTTGTAGCATTTTAGGGATAATACATCATTTTGAGTTTTGCACCGCTTTTTGTTCTTCCTGCAGCTCCTATCAGGAGGCTATTTGAACCACTAATGCAAGGTGGTAACTCCTTTTGGTGACAAGTGCAGTCAGATGGGAAAGTGGCGGGCTGCTGGCAAGGTGGCTTTTAACAAGGTCAGAGAATAACGTAAACAGTTGAAATAAGATCATGGAGGGAATAGAAATTATTACTAAGCCAAACCCAGTTCTTCGGATTGTTTTTGCAGTCTCAGTAATTGCAAATACAGTGAATACAGAGTTTGGTTTTGTTCCCCTGATACAGGCTGAAAAGCAATTACAAAGGTCTGCATTTCATGACTTTCTTAGAAAACAGTGAAGTCCCCAGTTTGCATCTGTTTTCTTCCATCTTCCTCGGCTCGTGAGTGAAATGCCAACTAATCAGGAGATGCATTGTGACTTAAGAATGGAAATCTGTTAGGTATATGCTGTAAAGGGCTCCCAAATCTCAGAGTTCTGAGGTCACTTTTGGGATGTTAGAGAACTTCTCAATAGAGTTTTCCTTCAGTCTGCAGGTAGCTACAGTGAGGACAGTGTGACTCACCCAGCTCCTTTGCTGAGGACGGTGTGGCTCTATGTCCCAGATGGTGCCTAGCTCAGGTTGGACAAACAGATTGAAGTTTAGCCCAGAAAAAGCTGGACTGCTGGTTGGTATTGAGAAGCAGCCAGAGGCAATATTAGTCCGTGAAGACAGTGAGCCTGCTGTTAGATCTCTAGTCAAATGAAAACTTTAATAGTCAAAATTAGCCCAGTTGCTTGACAGCATGTTTCAGAAGTATTCCAGATAGGTTTTTGACTGACTGGCCCCTTCTTACTACATTTAAATTAATTTTCAGATTGATACTGGAGCACAGGGCAGGGGTTCATTTGCTGAAAGGGCATCTCAATAATGCTTATGGCACTACAGTTCTAGGATCTACCTGTTGGTTGCTGGGTGGAGTTTGAAGTACTTCATACAATCTTCAAGGATCAAGAGGAGTTCCCTTTTGACTAAATGGTCGTGTGTTGTTGCGACAGTTACACTAGCAGGTGCCAGGGCATACAGAGCCCTGAGCTGGTATGTCTTATCAGTTGTATCTAGATTTAGATGAAAGGAATGGGAAAGAATGCAACTGTTTTCATTCATCCCTAATCTTTCACTCTTGATATCTTTAGGAGTGTTTACGTATCATATGAAGATGTTAAGGAGGTAGATGCCATGTACTCTTAGGAGGAGCAAACTCAGGGCTCTGTCTCTTCTTTTTCTTCTTTTTTTTTTTCCCTTGTACATGGGCTTTCTCCCATCTCTCTTACAGATTGAAGGAGAAAAACATGTCTAAAGACACAGTCGTGTACATCATTTTGAGGAATAAATTGCAAAGTTTCTGTGCCAACCATGGATCTGTATCACTTGAGCTACTGAAGATACGAGAACATAAACTAGAAAGAAGGTGGCTCTGTGCTGTGCTGATCCAGAGCAGGCAGGAGCAATTAGTTGGCATGCTGTTTATGTCCCTACTGTAACTCTTTCAAGGTCTCTTTTTTTCTTTTTTTTTCAAACATAGAAAAGACTTTGGCATTTAAGTACAAACTTTGAATACTATTTAAAAATATAATCAAAATAACTGAGTAAATCCATTCAGATTGATGTTACTTTTTTGGAGCTTGGTACTGTTTTGGTGAAAAGCACAATTCAGTAAGCAAAAGAAAACTAGTTTAATTTAAACTTTAACTCTCTTGGGCTTGGTTAGAGTGTTCCATACTGCTTCAGAAACAAAGCACTAGTGTTTGGACTCTTTTTTTTCTTTCTAATTTTCTGACATTACACATTTGTATTTCAGATGTTTGAAATTAGTGACTAGATCATTGCTATGAACTTGGGTGACTTGTGAGTAATTAATGTGCTAGTACAGAGCCAGAGAACAAATGCGAATAAGGCAGGAATCAGCTGATCAATGTGGGAAGCCAGAAGTCATTGGTAACATAATTTTGACATTAAAGTGAGAAGTTCTCTACTTAAATTAATCTCTTCTCATGTTAAATCTTTAACTCTAGCTTTTTTAGTAAATCATCTTTAAAGCCATTTAACAAGTCTCTACAGATGAAGTGAGCCAAGTGGGTGAATGTAAGTTGTATTTATAAAGATGAGTTCCAGATGGCAAAACACGGAAATGGGAACCTAGCAGACGATGTTAGAATGAAATTTGTTAAGACATGGATGGAGGAAAGCAATAGGAGTTTACTTTCCAGTTAGAGACACGTTCTAGGACAGCTGAGAAGGTTGTCTGGGAGATCTTAGAAGAAAAACCTATTTTGTGAGTTTTCCAACTTGAGTCAACCTTCATTTGTGATGCAGCTGGTTAAAGGTGATCTAGAGAAAGGAAATAACACAATTATGAATTAATGTAGTTTTCTACTTTGTTTGTTTTCTAACTCCCCTTCCATTGTGGGAATCTGATATTGCTACTCAGAAGAAACAGCAGCTGGCAATTCTATTTTCGATATCAGATGGTCTGCTCAGATATTTCTCTATACCCTGCAATAGGACTTAACAGTGTCCTGTTCATGTCTGTCTTACCAGCTGATCAGCAGCGCTCGCCCACCACGTGGGAGACAAGTGCTTTTCCTGTACAGAGCTGAGAGAGAAAGTATTTGTCTCTACAAAGAGAGCTAGAAGGAAAAGGCCATGGTTTCTCCACCCCTATTCTGTACTTCAGTGGCTAGTGTTAGCTAAAGATGCGAGACACCTGGATTTAATTCATCTGAGCATATGCACCTGTGTGCCAGGCCTTAAAATGTTACCTATTAGTCAATTTATCTAATATCTTTTCAGTATAGACTGCATCATCATTCACTAGAACAGAGAAGGTATTCTACATTTTCCTTTGCTTGGGTGAGTACCTGCAGAAGAGTTATGCTTGTTCTCAAAGGTGCCTTAAGAGAGAGATGAACTGTTGCAGTTGAAGTAGAGAAGAGAGAGCATCCTGCATCAGTCTCCTCATCACTGGTTTGAGTAGTTTCCTGTGAGTTTGGGATACCGACCTGCACCCTCTCAGGCAGAAGTGAAAAATGAGCTTGTTGCCTCTGTCCTGGGTGAGCACTGTGTTTACTGAACAGTTAGATTAAAAAAAAAAAATTTAGAAGAGCCAGTGACGTGGATCTAGTAAGGTCCCTTATTCCCCAGGGCACAGCGGTGAGCCTGACTACCTTAGCTAACCTGCTGTCATCGAGATAGGTTTTGTGAGTTGGATTTGAAGTACAGACATTCCACTCTTTTGTTAAGGATGTGAGGGCTGTAGACACCGATTTGGTGAGGAGGCACCTGAGATCTTTTGTGGGTTCATTGTGTAGAT